CATTAGAGCTGCACATCCAGACAGCAGTGATGGCCCCAGTTCTGATTCAAGCTTGGCTAATCAGAGCTATGCGCTCCCTGACAATAACAGCAGTCCACTGATGCTTAGTATCAGTACAATTGCTTCAGCCATTGCGGATGCATCCATCAGTAATGACCCATCACAGCTGGCTGCCATGATCATGGAGCTGTCCAAGAAGAGTAGGGCGAGGAATCGTGCAGAGTCTGCAAAAGCGGGACCTGCTGGCAGCAGCACTGAGGAACCTACCTCAGCTCTGCATGTAAGCATTGAGTGTTTATTTAACAATATGTTTAAGGGTCTTGGTTATAGCTATGACTTGTAGTTCAGATTAAGGAATGGTTAAGTTTCTAAACATGTTCTTTCAGTGTTTAACTTAAAAAAAGAAAATGGAAACATTGAAACACTGTTTTGGTCTCTATCTAGATCCTCCCTGAGCCAGATCAGAGTGCCATTTTAGACACACTGCAGAGAAGCACGTGTGTAGGAGAGATGAGTGGCTTTGATATGGAGAAATACTTGAAAAAGGTTGATGTTTCTGGCAGCAGTGATTCCTTGGGGGCTCACACCACCCTTGAATTGAGCAGCTGGGCTAACAATCTCAGCAGCTCTCAGAGGAACCCTCAGACAGGACATCCTGAAAAATGGGGGAGCGCAGCTCAGCACGTGGAAAGTAAGACAAGCGTGATGGAGAAAGACATCAGGGGAGAGTCAACGATGGCGCCCGGCAGCTCTATCCCTCAACCGTCACTGAGCTCTGCCAGGAGATCTGTGGGCTCTTCCACACACAAACCTCCTGCAGACACAGTGTTATCTCATGCTGCTTCCTCAGCCACTACCTGTGCTTCATTAGGTGGAATCAAGCCAGCAGAAGTGAACATACAAGCATCCAACGGTAGCCCCTCTAAAACCCCACACAAAACTAATAAAAGCTCTGCTGCTTCACCTGGCTTGCTCAGAACCTCCCCTGGCTGTATGAAAGGGCAGTCAGTCCTCCCTTGCCATAAAGGTTCCTCTCCC